ACGCGCATTATCCTGCCCAACTAAACTTTATGGATCAATGTCCCTAAGGGTTCGATCCTCCATTTCAATGATTTACCATTGTATCACTTTACCGACGACGAGTATCAGGCCGAACTTGAAATCTCACCCTTCTTCAAACAGCATTCCCTCGTCCTCGATCCAGAATTGGAAGAAAGGATCAAGGAGGAAGGAACGCAACTTATTGATTTGACTCCAGTTGATACAGCTTTAGAAGCTATCGCTCGCCTTCCACCCGCTGGCGCGCCAATCATTCGGTCTTGGTCTGCTGCTGTCACAGCGCTTTGCGTTTCTACTATTGTAGGATATGTTGTGACTCGGACACTTGCCTTCCTCCTCCACAAGCAAGTGAACGCCGTCCAAGAGTCTTTCAACAAGTGCACGTCCGGCATGTTCCGACATGATAAAACTGACCAAGAACCTGAACCTGAGAACTCAACAAACCTGATTGAGATTACGCCTATACCGCCTCGTCGAACCTCTGACAATTAGAGCACAATTACAAGTAATCCTAAATAATGTACCTCTATGTCTTCTCAAGTTTCTAACCTGATCATTCCCAAATTACCCAAGTCCTGCACCAGGATTCAGTCAGTGATGGAGATGTTGTTTGTGTCTTGTGTGTGTCTGTTCTCTCTGCCTCTTGTTCCAGTGCCCGCTGACGTTCGCAATGGGAACCTCACCGAGCAAAAGGGGGATATATGTAGGGATTTCTATCATGAACGGACACTGATATGCCACTGAAACAACTCATCATGAGATGACAAACTAATCCAATCAGGAGATAACACAGAGATCTTTTGTATCAGGACTGAAAAGTTCTTTCACGACATATAGATACCTCGTGATCGCTAATGTATGGAACCAGTGTAGGCACAGGAAGTAAATTCAGGCCTGCAACACGGGATCTATGCGTGACTATTACATGACATTTAACCATCTGCTTCCTGCCCTTTCTGAAACCCTTACAAACTTCTCTTACATCAAAAGAAACAGAACACTTGCATGATGATTCTAAAAGACAATCATTTAAAATCATTTAAAGTATTGGAGCAATATACTCCCAAATAATAGGCTTTCTGTTTGATGTGTTTATTGTAACCTATGAAGTTTAATCGATGTTTTGTAACCCCCTTTCTGTTTGATGTGTTTATTGTAACCTATGAAGTTTAATCGATGTTTTGTAGCCCCTTTTTATAGATAAAGGGATTAAAGGTACTCTGTGTATGCCAGATATGCAAAGTTTGGGCTTGTGGGAATGGTCATGATATTTAAATAACCTTGGTATGGATGAAAATGTGTTATTTTGAACAGTGTGTGTTGTACGACACTTTATATTAAAACTTGCAGGAATACGGCCCACTTGAAGCATGTGATTCATGCATGATAAAGGAACAGTATGGGGCGTGGCTAAGCCCTGCAGCCACTATCTGATTGGAACAACGACCTGTGGGATGGACAAAAGTCAACCTGCTTAAAATGGACACAAAGCCCTCGCTTGCTCGCTCTCTCTCTCTCTAGAACTGTGGCTTTTCACCTTGGTGACCGCGTGACAAAGCGCTCCCATGCCGTAACATCACACGAGTGAGACTCAAAACTCAAACACTTCAGTTGAAACTCCACGACTGCCGAACTCAAAGTCTCAAGCCAAGCAAAGGAACTCTCAGAAGAACTCCAAACATCATCCTCCGTAACCCGGCAACCAACCAATCACGACCGAGGGCTTCCCCAAAAAGACGCCATCCAGATGTAACCAATCAGCAACCAATCAGCAATGGAATTCCCTCAAGCAGCCAAACAAGGAAACTCACCCAAACGCAAGTAAACAAACAAAGCTTCTATCTGCTGAACTGGTGCTGAGATAATTTTAAGCAGTAAACATAAGCCAAGTATCTGCTTTATGACTTTTGATAGCATGTACATGGTGAGAAGCAATGGTCCAAGTACTAAGCTTTGTGGTACTCAATAAAATTACAGCATCATAACTTGTGATCAGTATGATATCTCTTCATGTATTGCTACAAACTGATGTAGGGATTTCTATCATGAACGGACACTGATATGCCACTGAAACAACTCATCATGAGATGACGAACTAATCCAATCAGGAGATAACACAGATATCTTTTGTATCAGGACTGAGAAGTTATTTCACCACATATAGAAACCACAATGTGACCTTGTGATGTCTTGTGATCACACAATGTATGGAACTCTTACATCCAACAGGAAAAGGATGAGTAAATTAACTGATGCCCTCAGGCCTGCAAACACGGGATCTATACGTGACTAACACATGATTGCCATCACATCCTGCATTCCAACAGAACCGTGCTCTGGTCGTTGCAACAAAGAAACAGAACTTACACAGACAATTCAAAAGACAATCATTTAAAAGTATAAAATGGCAACTATATTCACAAATAATATGTTTGGGCCTTTCTATGCTTTCTGTTTGATGTGTTATTCAACCTATGATATTTTAATCAATGTTTTATAACTTTTCCTTTTAGTAGATGAGATTATTAATGTGTATGCAAACTACCCGATATTGAGCTTGAATGAAAGCTTGTTTTATTCGCCGAACATTGGTGTTAGTGAAAATTTTATATTCAGTATCATTCTCTGTTGTATGACACTTTATAAGAAGTTATTAAAACTTGCAGGAATACACCCCACTGGAAGCATGTGATTCATGCATGATAAAGGAACAGTATGGGGCGTGGCTAAGCCCTGCAGCCACTATCTGATTGGAACAACGACCTGTGGGATGGACAAAAGTCAACCTGCTTAAAATGGACACAAAGCCCTCGCTTGCTCGCTCTCTCTCTCTCTAGAACTGTGGCTTTTCACCTTGGTGACCGCGTGACAAAGCGCTCCCATGCCGTAACATCACACGAGTGAGACTCAAAACTCAAACACTTCAGTTGAAACTCCACGACTGCCGAACTCAAAGTCTCAAGCCAAGCAAAGGAACTCTCAGAAGAACTCCAAACATCATCCTCCGTAACCCGGCAACCAACCAATCACGACCGAGGGCTTCCCCAAAAAGACGCCATCCAGATGTAACCAATCAGCAACCAATCAGCAATGGAATTCCCTCAAGCAGCCAAACAAGGAAACTCACCCAAACGCAAGTAAACAAACAAAGCTTCTATCTGCTGAACTGGTGCTGAGATAATTTTAAGCAGTAAACATAAGCCAAGTATCTGCTTTATGACTTTTCTCAGGTTGCAAGTAAAAGAACTGTAGCGAATATCTTGCTAAAACGTTGGGCTTTCGTCAGAACTCCGTTAACATCATTCTTCAGAACTGTATGTGTGTATGTATCTGTGTGTTTTAGCTTAGTTTAATGTAATCTAGAATAGCCAATAAATTCTTGTTTTCATTTATAAAGAAGTATTGTCTGGTGTCGTGACATTTTAAAGTCAAACCTTGCCAAGATCACATTCCTCATTTACCCAGTGGAAAACCCCCCCAAAAGTGAACCGTACCGAGCCGTACCATGCCGTACCATGCAGTGGAAAAGCGCCATTAGACCACTCGGCCATGCTACCCCAGAGAGCAGTGCTTCGTGGGCCCTTTTCGGCCCTTCCACCCTCCAGAAATAGAGGCAACGGCAGCCGTGCAGCTTATTCGCGAAACCCATCTAGTGTGCGGCCAAGGAAAGCTCTTTGCTAGGCCATCGCAGCCACAAGAGTCTTCCAAAAAGGTTGCCCTGGCACCGGTGGGATTCTAACCCAGACCCCCGAAGAGACTGAAGCCTTAATCCAGCGTCTTAGACCGCTCAGCCATGCTACCCAAGAGAGCAGTGCTTCGTGGGCCCTTTTCGGCCCTTCCACCCTCCAGAAATAGAGGCAACGGCAGCCGTGCAGCTTCTTCGCGAAACCCATCTAGTGTGCGGCAAAGGAAAGCTCTTTGCTAGGCCATCGCAGCCACAAGAGTCTTCCAAAAAGGTTACCCTGGCAATGGTGGGATTCTAACCAACACCCCCGAAGAGACTGAAGCCTTAATCCAGCGCCTTAGACTGCTTGGCCATGCTACCCCATGAGGGGGCTTTCCCTGGGCTGCTTTCCACCAACTTTGTCCTTGTCGCGCTTCGCCACAAGCGAATGCCTTGAATTTCTCCACGGTATAGGCCTCCTTCTTGCAGGGGTACGCAGTCCTACTCCTGAAGGCCCCCCTTCCTGTGGACTGCAGGTCCTTTTCTGATCAAACACACCTGAATGAGCTATTCAAGGCCTTTGGGGCCTTCAAAGCATACGTACCATAATTCAAGGCCTTCAAAGCTGTGTATTAGCCGTTATACTCAAAATTATTTTTTCCTAATTTTTTTCACCCAAAATTTTCAATGAGTTACATTGGCTTTTCCATTCTTTTAGACTACTTGTTGCTTTTCGCTATTATTTTATTCAAGTTATTTTTCCTGTTTTGAAGTAACTTCACTATGATTGTAAATTATTGGTTTCCCTGCTTCAACAGGGTGCCTCTGTTAGAAAGGAGAAGAGGCTGGGACAGCCTTCCAGCACTGATTTGGCTAAAAAGCAAGGAAAGCAAAAGTGGCTGAATTTGGATGTCCACGCAGCGTCACTTCACTCAAGCACAGCAGCCACAAAAGCCAAAAGACTGCCCTGGCAGCGGTGGGATTTGAATCCACGCCCCCAAAGCGACTGGAGTCTTAATCCAGCGCCTTAGACTGCTCGGCCACGCTACCCAGTGGGCCCCTGTTCCACTGGCCGCTTCGACCGGTGGAACGGCCACCCCGATGCTGCCTTTGCTGAAAAACTGCAGTCTAATCCCGTTAGAGTAAAACAAACCTGATCCCAAGCAAAGTTAAAGCTTTCAGCTGTGTTGCTGGCATCTTGTTTGACTCGCGTGTCCCTGGCGGGCCTGGCTGCTGTCAGGGAAAGCGTGCTCTCACAATATTTTCAAACCTTTACTGAGTACACGCAGGGCCTCCCTTCCTTGGTTAAAACCACTGCAGGCAGCGGTGGGACTTGAACCCACACCCCCGGGGAGACTAGAGCCTAAATCCAGCACCTTAGACCACTCGGCCACGCTACCCCAGATAGCAGTGCTTTGTGGGCCCTTTTCGGCCCTTCCACCCTCCAGAAATAGAGGCAACGGCAGCCGTGGAGCTTCTTCGCGATACCCATCTAGTGTGCGGCAAAGGAAAGCTCTTTGCTTGGCCATCGCAGCCACAAGAGTCTTCCAAAAAGTTTGCCCTGGCAACGGTGGGATTATAACCCACACCCCCGAAGAGACTGAAGCCTTAATCCAGTGCCTTAGACTGCTTGGCCATGCTACCCCATGAGGGGGCTTTCCCCGGGCTGCTTTCAACCAACTTTGTCCTTGTCGCGCTCCGCGACAAGCGAATGCCTTGAACTTCTCCACGGTAAAGGCCTCCTTCTTGCAGGGGTACGCAGTCCTACTCCTGAAGGTCCCCCTTCCTGTGGACTGCAGGTTCTTTTCTGATCAAACACACCTGAATGGGCTATTCAAGGCCTTTGGGGCTGTCGTGAAAACGGCAGCCAGCTGCGTGTTATACTCTAAAAAAATTTTTCCAAATTTCTTTCACCCAAAACTTGCAATGAGTGACATTGGCTGTTTCCATTCTTTTAGATTATTGGTGTCCCTGCTTCAACAGGGTGCCTCTGTTAGAAAAGAGCAGAGGCTGGGACAGGCTTCCAGCACTGGCTTGGCTAAAGAGCAAGGAAAGCTAAAGCGGCTGAGTTTGGATGACCAGGCAGGCTTCTTACAGGGGTTCGCAGTCCGATGCAGTGTTTCCATTATTTTAAACTACTCATTGCTTTTCACTATTATATTATTCAAATTATTAAAAAATATATGTATATATATCTACAATGATTTCTCTACAAAGATCTACAAGGCTTTCAGTACTGACTTTGCTGAAAAGCAAGGAAAGCAGAAGTGGCTGAGTTTGAATGAGCACGCAGCATCACTTCTACAATCTCTTTGCTCAGGCACATCAGCCTTCCAAAAGGCTGTCCTGGCAGCGGTGGGATTTACACCCACTGGAGACTGGAGCGTCAGTCCAATGCCATAAACAGCTCAGCCACACTACTCTATGAGGCTCTGTCAGAGCTTGCAGATGTGTTACAATTGCAACCAATCTGAGATTAATTTTGAAGAGCAGAACAACACAAGATTGACTAAAATCTTCAGAAATAAAATCTTGAGTAATCAATTACCTATGCACAAAGGATGGGGCATGATTGAGTCACCTTGCCTCAGCAAAGAGGCAACCATGAAGAAGATGACACACCCTGCCATACTTACATGTTTCTAAAAGTCCTGACATTTTCAGAGCATACAAAAGCCATTGACAGTGGGATTTGGACCAGTGTCCCAGAAAAGACAACAGCCCAAATCCAGTATCTTAGACCCCTCTGCCACACTATTCAGCAAAGTTCTTTTAGCCCGGACACTTTTCACTGACTTTTGTCTTGTTGTGCTTCGCCAAAGTTGTTAATAATAATATATTTCAAAATAGCTGTTTACTAATTTTATATATTTTACAGTTTAATGTATATGATGGCAAAATAATTTTCATCAGCCATTACTCCAGTCTTTACTGTTACCGACTAATATGCTAAATTCTTTTTATTATTATTTTTTATTTCTTGAAAATGTTTGTGCTGCTTAAAGTAGAAGTGTTTTTTAGGATTCTTTGATGAATAGAAAGTTCAAAAGAGCCGGATACTATTTTTTTCTAATGTTATAAATAGCTTCACTGTTATTTCTGTTCAATTTAATGTATCTTTTCTGAATAAAAGTATTAATTTATTGACACCAAATATTTGAACAGTATTTTATCAAGCAAACTTGTTTTGCAACTTTTAAATACTAACTCGCATAAAAAACTGACAAATTCATCCAAATAAAATAATTAGGTTTATGTATTTCAAAAATACAAGTGTATCAAAAATGAAAAGAAATTTAGCCACACACACACACACACACACATAGCTTGACATACATCTGCAGGGCAAGTTCTGCAATCCTACTGTATGTGTACAGTATGTACATTGAGCACTGCTCTTCAGTTGGCTCGTTTGAGGCCAAATTAATTTTTATTTTTGATACTTTTTAAAAATAAATATATAAAACTATTTATTTTATTTGGATGAATTTGTCTGTCTTTTATCAGATTTACCCATTGTTATAACATCGCTAGTACTTTCCTTATGGCACTTTTCCATTGCGTGGTACGACTCGGCTCGGCACGGCTCAGTACGGCACGGCACGGTTTGGCTCGGCACGGTTTGCATTTCCACTGCAGTTCAGTACCGCTTTAGAGTGAGCGGGATTATTCACATGTCGTTATAGTTGCGCCGCCTCTACTACCACGACTCCTAAAAACTTTTTCATTCCGCGTCGCCCTATCAAGCTCTCGCTGGATCCGCTCCTCTGCTATCAACGAGGGGAACATCTGTTCTTCCACAACAGACAACAAAACTTTTTGGTTGTTAAAAAAAGGTGCGCTCGTTCAAACCAGTTGCGTTCGATCCTTCGCTGGCTGTGCTGATTTAAATCTAGGGGTTCTGTTGTGTTTGTGTCGCAAGTTCAGTGACGCAGGTAGAGACGATTCTCTCCGGCCAATCCGTGATCAGCAGAGTTTACACGTCACGTTTTGGTAACAGTACGGTTCACTTGGAACCCCAACCGAGGTGGTACTAAAAAACGTACCAGGTACCAGGTACTGTACCCAGTCGAAAACCCCCAAAAAGTGAACCGTACCGAGCCGTACCATGCAGTGGAAAAACGCCATTAGTTTCTGGTAGCCAAAGCTAAGCTAATGCTTCTGGTTGCAAAGCAGCTGGAGAGTTTTTGACTGCATCAATAATAATTTAGCACAAATAGTCTTGATGTGAACAATCCGTGCAAGTTAATCCACTGAAAAAAATTGTTTGCCTTGTAATCTTTAATCAAAATTTGAAAATTTACTTCAGCTCTGGAATTGCATTCCTTCTCTGATGACGTCAGTTTGACGGCTTGGGCAGAATATACTTAAACACACCCCTCCAACCGTTAGTTTGCTGATGAGAGGAGGAAAGCAAAAATAAAACCACGCCCTCTCCGTTTCAGCTGGAAATACGTCACTTCACAGAAATAAAGTCGGCAGCAACTTCCGGTTCATGCGGACTGGAAAAGGTGCAGTCTAAAGTGGAAGAGAGGGGGTACACAGAATAATGGTAAATGCCTCAGGGGGTACTCCACTCTAAAAAGTTTGGGTCAACAAATATATATATGTGTGTGTGTGTGTGTGTGTGTGTAGCGGCCCATAGAAACAGTCGCTAATGAGGCATCTACGTATATATATATATATATATATATATGGAGAAAACGGCTCTGAGAAAAACAAGGTTAATGATGCCGTCACAAACAGACGCCGACGCCCGACGTATTACAACTTCCTGTTTCGGGAAGCGCTGAGTTAGGCTCTTGTTTGCTATCCAGCTAGTAAGCTTGAATGTCCAACAGGATTGTGTATAACCTTAGTGTCCGAATGTGTGTACAGTGTTAACAAGCAAAAAGTGCGACTTACTGCAATTGGTGAAATAATGTCGGACGGTCCTGGTGGGTATTGTTGTATACTAAAGCGAAGTAATTAGCCAACTATTTACAGACCTACCATGCTAGCTTCAGATTGCTCAAATCGACATATACGCATAACATGTATGTCTCTTGTTGGTTTGTCTGAACGGTTTTATATGTCTGTTTCGAATTATGAATGATTTTCGTGAATTTTTGCCATTATTAAACTGCTGTTTTGATATTAAAAACAAAGTTACCAGAATGTGTCACGACAGTAAATTGACATTTACTCACAGAATGTACGTTATTGTACGTAATTACGTAATGCATTGTTATTCTGCTTTTGTTTTACTGAAACCTGACGTCTTAATTTACATTAGTTGTTTTCTTTTTCCTAAGTGAGGTGTAGGTCTAACAAAATACAGAACACCATAACTTTGACGATTTTTTCATCTGCTTCTGACAGATTTGCCGCCAAGCGATGAGCAGAATTTAGAGATACAAGGCTCCGTTACTAATTGTCCTTCTGTTGTGATGATGGAGGAACAGGAGGATAGCATGTTTAATGACCAACATTTCTGTAAGTATAAACATAAATATGCAATTTTAAATTTAAATCTCTCTCCTTTCTCTCTCTTTTATGTGTACCTTATACATGTTCTGTGTCTGCAATACCCTTTCCTTGTCTTACTCTTTGCTTTTTTTGGCAGATTGTGAGATGTGTCACCAGCACTTCATTGACCAGTGTAAGGTTCATGGTCCACCATTATTCACATGTGACTCGCCAACAGCTATGGGCATTCCTCAGAGAGCTCTGCTGACGCTGCCGCAAGGCTTGGTTATAGGTCGATCAAGCATCTCTAATGCAGGGCTTGGGGTTTTTAACCAAGGTCAGACTGTGCCATTGGGGATGCATTTTGGACCTTTTGATGGAGAGGTGACCTCCGAGGAAAAGGCATTGGATAGTGCCTTCTCTTGGGTAGTGAGTGTCAACCTTACTGTTGTATTATTTGTTAAAGTTATAGTTGTAATTTAAATATAAGCATTTGGCTAGACAAATTTTAATGCCATTTTCTCTCTAGATTTACAGAGGCAATAATCAGTATACTTACATAGATGCAGAGAGAGACACTCACTCTAACTGGATGAAGTAAGCACTTCTATTCGCATTTGTTGTGCTTTGTAATTTAGCCATTTATTTGATAGTTTTCTCAATGTTGTGTCTTGCTTTAGGTTTGTGGTGTGCTCAAGGAGTGAGACGGAGCAGAATCTTGTTGCATTCCAGCAAAATGGACGTATTCTGTTCCGTTGTTGTCGTCCTATTTGCCCAGGGCAGGAATTTAGAGTTTGGTATGCTGAAGAATATGCTCAAGGACTTGGCATCATCTGGGATAAGATCTGGGATAAGAAAAGCATTTCTCTAGGTAACTACATCTTGGGTTTTTACCTGTTCTGTGGCATCTTTGTTCCATATTATGAAATAGAAGTTTTTTGTTAAACGTCAT